ATGCAATCCAATGAAAAGCTCATCAGTACTGCTTTTCTTTTTGTACTCAGAGCTAGCACTCTGAACATTTACTCATCACACAGCCGTTGATTTTTGACATAATCTATTAATGACAGGCAGGATTGATCTTCCTGGTCTACAAATTATTGGGATGCACTTAGTAGGACCAACTACCCAGCCTTGGGATAATTTTACATTTTCTGTAGATGGCTATTAAAATCCAGGCAAATGATTTTTTTGGGGGGGGGGAGAAAACTTTTACAAAAATACATGGAAAGAGGATTCAGGGAAGAAAGTTATTTTCTATTTGAGCTATCATGTTCTTGGACCAGGGGTCAGGAGACAGAATTAGTAGTACTCTCCTTGTTGTCTAAGATGGTCTACACAATTACCTAGGAGCCTAGCATGCATACTTTAAGCTGCAAAAAGTACATTTTCCCCTTCCCCTTCCTCACCTGCCCTATAAGGAGCCTGAATGCTCTGTCCACTTCACCTTAGACTGCCGAGTGTTAAGCCAAGGCAACTTGGTGATGCTTGCTATAACTGATACATATTTTAAAAGCAGCCTTTTCATACCCATGTATTCTATATTAAAAGTGGTAAAAAGTCATGTTTCCGGGGAGTATTCCAGTAGCTGACTTAATTATTTAATAATAGTACATTGATTACATTGTAATTATTCTTGCTGTAGTCAGGTATTAGTAACCAATGGAAATTTCCTACAAACCTGCTGTATCCAAAGTTTTGTAAAAAGTTGTAGAGGTTGTTGATCTTTTTGATTTTATATTCAAAAGAATTCTCTTTTTATAAATATTATTTATTATACAATGTATATACCTTTGAGTTAACTAAGATTATATATTATATAAATATATTATATATATATTTGGAGAAAATATATTTCATCATGCAGTTTTTTTTTTCTGTTAAGTCATTAAAGAGAAGGCAAACAAAATTAAAACTGACACGTGGTTATAGTCTGTGTACTTTACAGATGAACTCTCACAAGACCAAGAATATGTAACTTCAAATGTGGAGATCTTAGCTTTCTGGTCCCTGGCCCCAGGTCAAGGTTCTTTTCCCTGTTTCTGTGGAAGAATATTCTAAACATATCACATAATAAAATTTGAGCTACTAACAATGTAAAGTTACCAGAGGCAACCTCCTACTTAAATAAACTCAATATACATAATTTACAAGTTGTAAAATTGATTAACATTGGATACTGACTAAATTTATAGAGCCTGATACCTTATATTTAAGGACTTTTCAGCCTGGACAGCATTGTATGTTAGATTAGTAGCATCTTCTGCTAAGCTGAAATTTTTCAGCCTGATTTTTTTAAAAAAAAATCAGATATTATATTCCTTCCATAAAAAAGGGGGTGAGCCATATTCTGGAAATGTTCAGGATCGCCTGTCTCATCTGAAGCTGTTTTGGTTGCAAGTGGACAAAGTGGGGAGTTTTGATGGTAAAAAGGAGATCCTTGGGTCAAGAATGTACCATAAAATTCTGGAAGTGCCACTGGACTATTAACCAATTTAGTCCCTTCTACACAAAATGTTTTCAATTTATAGTCTATTGGGAATTTTATAAGAGAAGTCTATAGAAATACAGGATTTACTTTGCAGGCACCTCTGATAAAACTATGTCTATTTTGTAAAATAAGACATAATGGTATATGAGAATGTTCTGTAAAATGTCACTAAAAGTAGTTTGCTCCTGGCCCCACTATAAGGAATAAGTCATAGAATGAAGATGATGGCTGGTGAGTGGGGAATGACATTTCAGGTCTCTTAATTTCATGGAAGACATTATAATTTCTAGATTGGCTTGAGCAGTAAGAGTAGGAATTCTCAGTAGATGTATTCCAGGTGGGTGGGTTTTTGTTTCTTTGGTTTAAAGTCCAAAGTTAATCTAAGTCTTATAAAGCATGAGATTCTATAATTCAGAATAGGAGATGGTTCTTCCAGTCTTTAGACCCAATTGCAAAATTTCACCTTCATTAAATATAGCAACTCTCTCTGAAGCTCAAAAGTGCTTTCATATTTACATTATACTATTTATTTATTCTGCACTTTCTCTTATCAGACAACCTTTAGAATTTACACTAATCAGGATGGAGGATGGACCGATGTTTATCAGTATACCCCTAAAAGAGTTTGGAGAGAATGTTTTCCCATTCTTTTGTAATTGACTCCTTAATATACTTGGTTATATATCAATTTGGATCAGTTTTAATCAGACATTATCAGGATTACTGTGTCCTTCTAAGGTAGCACATCTCCCAGAAGACAACTTGGGGGAAACTGAGCCATAGGAGGATAAGGTGAAAGACACGGCAATGTTTAACTTGGAATGGTGAAAACACAGGATCGGGGGAAGGGGGGAGGCTGTGAAGGGAACATGATAGTTGTCTTATGTGAAAGGCTGTCATCTCGGAGAGAGTATGTTCGACGTAACCCCAGAGGGCAAAACTATCAGTAGCGTGTGGAAGTTAAAGACAGTCGGATTTTACTTCGACAGAAGGAAAGTTTCTCAATAACTGGAACTTTGCAAAAGTGGAATGGGCAGGACTAGTAGTTGCACCCCCCTTCCTCCTCATTCCTTAAGGTCTTAACATATGGAATGGATAACCAGTCTGTGTGAATCTGTGTGATCTCTCTCTCTTACGGACTGCAGTGCGCCCTCAGGAGACTCACCAGGTCCTAGCAAGATAGATTGAAGGAACTAAGGAATTTAATTTGCTTCATTTTGCAAGCAGAGTAACTTAGGTACAGTTTCACGGGTGGCAAAATGGCCAGAGAGACTTAACAAAAAGCGAGGAAATAAGATCCTCAGGAAGAGATAAAATGAAAACTAATCAGAAGGTTCCTTTCTAAGTTATATCATTTACTATGGAAGAAAGAAGGGAAAATAACCAGGAGAGAAGTGTGCAGCAAAGAAGCAAAGATGATGGACCAAGGCAGAGAGGGATGAGGGAGGTAGGCTAAGCAACAGAGGTAATGACACAATTTTAGGTACAACTTTTTTTTTTTTTGGTTGATGCTGGAAAGGAAATTAACTGGGGGGAAAATTATGGCTGCTTTGTTGATTCTCTCCTGCCTCTCATTCCATTCCCCCACCCTTCTCCCACCTCTACCCCCAAAAAAAGAAACCCCGAGGAGCACTTTGCGAGGAGGTGGGGCATGGTGTTTCTATTCATCCTATGCTCCCGAAGTATGGGAATGGGGACTGTGTGCAAGAAACTTTTAGTCATTGGCCTTTCTCATCCTCTTGCAAATTTTGTGCTATTTATGTTCATGTAGTAGGGTTTCTTGTTGATCAGAGGTGGTATCTTTTGAATTTGAATGCGGTCCCTGACATACAGCACATACACTGTCAGGGGGCTTATTTCAAGAACTGGAAGCGCCTGAGAAAACATAAGAGGCTGCCTATAGTTTTAGCACCTCAATTTAAAATTCATGTACGACCTTCATATTACTGGTACAAAACTTTCATTACTCCACTGCTTTGAAGAGGCCTGTAACCAAGCTAGCAGGGAAAGAAAAGGGAAGAATGCTTATTCCACCTTCATATTTAGACTGGAGTTGTCCTTCACCTGGGACTACGGGCTTTGAACAAAATGTGCTCGCCATCAGTTGTGTTCAGATACTGAAAAGCTGGGTTTAGTGATCTTTGGTGGAAACTCAAAGGAGTTTCAAAATACCTGTATTTAAAAAAAATGAAAAGATTTCCCGAAGCAAAGCATTATTTTAGAGATAATTATGCTATGTCCAAGGCTGTGCTAATGCTAGCTCCAAAAGGCTCATGAGAGCTGATAGTCAAATTTTCAATGTGAGAGCATTTACACCCTAGAAATCTGCATCCGCTATAAATCAAGGCTTGATTTACTGTTTTGATAATTGTTTAGACTTAAGAAAGTGATGAAGAAAATACTAATAAAATAAATTAAATGGCAAAGTGTGTCATACAAACAGCTCCCGCCACCCTCACCCCCCAAGAGCTGATTGTTAAACATTTACCAGCACACCACTAGTTATTTCCGTTTCTATAGTAACAAATAGGTTAACAGTATAAAGTGTAAGTCACTGTCTCGCCCAAAAGTGAAAGGTGAGGCCTGAAGGGTTTGGGAAGTGGTGTGAATAAGGTGAAAAGTATTCTCTTTTTCTTAAGTTTTAGAAGAAATTTGATAGAAATCACCTGCTGATCATTCATCTAGCGAGGGAGAGAGGTGCCACCAGTCACCTGTTGTTCCAGAAATCAATTGTGTGTTGGCTAACTTCAGATATATAATTGCCTGGTTCTTATTTTAAGCCATTCTTTCAGAGAAATCTGCCGAGATTCCCAAGGGAATGGATTCACTGCAGAGTTCTCAGATGCTCTTAGAGACTCTCCAGAGACTTTTAGAGAGACGCACCAGCCACCCCCAGAAGTCTTCAGACTGTCCCAGGAAAACTCTACATCGGGACCCAAGACTTCTGGTACAGTCTGTGTCCTAATTTGGTGACTTAGGGCTTCAGAGTTACTCTGAAGCAGTTTACGCAGAGAGATTCTATACCACAGGAAAATGCAAACAAAGTAATAAAACCAAAACGAAAAAAAAAAAAAAATCTCAGAGGGACACCAAATTTACCATGAAAAGAGCTGTGAAGAACCCCAATGGGAAGGTTGGAACTGCTTGATTTGTGTGCTTCATAGAAGGGTATGGTTCTAATTAAGAAGAGTTTCTCTTTCTAACTTCATTACTGACTTATTGCATGGCTTCTGTACTTCAGTTTCCCAAAGGGAAAAATAAAATAAAGCACTTGCAATTTTACTTGTAGTGCACCTTTTTTATACATAACTGGTGATTCTTGGCAAAAAAAAAAAATAGTCCCCTTACTCTGTTCTCCACCCCTTGAGACTGAAGTGAGTAGCTTCTGTCGCTATCTTAATTCTCTTCACAACAGAGTCAAAAGACCACCAGCTACTTGAGCAAAGTCACGAGGCTGACAAACTTTCCAAGTATATGTGCTATTTATTGCATCCAGTCATTGGCATTAAATATAACATAGTTCTCAATATATCCTTGGACAAAAGCACAATAAAAACATTTACGTCATTTAACCAGAGACATTAAGTTAATATAATATGTGATGATTTCCTGGGAAGAGGAAGTTGCAAGATCTTATACAGAGAGGGGTCACCATGGATACTGGCCACTGGAAATCACAGATTTTCACAGTATACATCACTTAAAATGAACAGAGGATGAAAACCCCAAAAGAAAGCTGATGACGTGCATAAGACTATGCTAAAAGGATATCCACAAGGCCTGGAGAATGGTTTGCTCTCCCCCCAGGAGGACAAATGACAGAGACCCATGTCACGCTGGGCTTGCAAGCTCAGGCAGAGAGGCTGGCTAGGCTAGCATCAAGTTCTGTCACTCGGCTTTGGGCTGTTTGTCTTCCCTTTGAAGGTGGGGGTGGGGGAGAAAGTGGCATGCTCTACAAGCCTCATTACCAGACAAGCTGACCTAATTAAACACATTCTAACTCAGTTATCAGAAAAGTCACCAAAAAGAAATGAATGCTGATTGCCTTGTCCCTTTTGGAAGGAACAGGCAGATGATAACTGAAATTTGACATACTTGCCAGAATGAAATCAAAAGATTAGGGGGAAGGTAGTCTTTTTGGATATTTCAACTAATAATAATAGTGTATTCCTTAGATACTGCATAGTATAGATTAGCACTTTGGTAGCTGGTTCCAAAGGAAGAAAGGCTGGACTATAACTTTTAAGTTTTCTCACTGAGGAAAGAAAAATTTAGGGATACTAACAAACTTCATAGTGCTCTAAGGAACTGGCTCATTTAAAGCTGGACACTAATTAGCACAAAGAAGTTCCTGAATTATTTTTAATAACCTCTTTCTGTTTAGGGTAGTACACTTTTCCACAAATAACTCTCACTGGTTTTTAACAAATATAGAGTAGTAATAGGCTGAATTTCTCCAAATCAAACAAATAATATTAATGGAAAATTCTGTGTCTTTAATGTGTTGCTGCCTCTGCAGTCATATTTTGTTCTCTCACCAGTAAAAATTTTCTGACCACAGATTGCAAACTTTATTTCAAATGACCAAAGAAAGAGTAAGTGAGAAATTCAGATTCACATGTGTTTAGGCAAGGGCAATAAAGGGTATTCTGGAAATCCATAATCTAATTTTTGTCTTTGACATCTAAATACATCAATAATACATAGACAATCACATCCCCTCCAAGGCACCCCTCCTGTCCCACTTTCCTATGATGATGTCAGGTCTCAGTTAAACAAGCAAGATGTTTACTTGCAATGCTCATTAAATTTACTGGTGGTATGTGGGGCAGAACACTTGAAATGTGTAATGTTAGCAAGTAGACTGCATTCTTTCCACACCTAAAAAACTGAGTGAGAAAGTCTTTTTAGTCTGCACAGAAACAGAAGCACAACACCAAGCAAACTATCACCTGCCACAAAAACACCAGAGTATCTAAGACGAGCATAAGGAATGAGAATATATTGCACTACACATGCAGACTGAGGGCTTATGGAAGGGAGAGTTGCATTTCCGCTAGGCCAGTGCCCTTGAATAAGATGCATGGCGGTCATCTTCACCTCGGTCACTTCCCTTGGTCACTTCGCACAGCAGACAGTCCACATTCAATCATAGTCAAGGGGGTTACTGTAAAGGAACATCAAAGAGATAATTACCACGTTGATGGGGTTGGCCCTGCTTTGCCACATGAACTTTTCTAAAAGTGAACCAGCAAAAAAAAATCTCTTTCAGAGCTTTTTCCTCCTGTTACAGCACTGGCCACGGACAAGATAAGCATTTCAAAACAGGGCAAGATCATATTCACTAAATATGCACCATCAATTTTATTGACAACAGGTTTGGAGATGGAGGTCAGGGAAAACAAATCATCAGTACAACATCTATGCTCGGTTTCTGATCGCACCTACAATGATAGAGAATAATTCGGAAAGAAAATAAAAGCAAATACAAAGACATCCCAGTATGGCTGAGAACTCAAATACGTGGACTCTAAGGCCACTCTTAGAAACATGGATGTGGCAGGATTAAACAGAGGCAGCTATCAAAATGTAAGCTGGGTTGACAGCTTTAGATGCATCTACTTACGCCCCTTCTTCTCTCAAGAGAGCCAGGAATTTTCTCACCCGGTATTCAGGATCCATCTAAATATAACAAAAAAGATAAGGAATCCAGGTTAGCAATATACTGTGCTTCAGTTAACTGGACATTTACTTCATCCTAAATAAACACTAACACCCGCACTTCAGTAACCTTCTGACTGACCAACAGAAGCTCCTTATCCGTCTTCTCTCCATTAATATGATCTATAACAGAATACGTAAGTTGTTTTGAAACAGAGCTGGATCTCCACATGGAGCTTCCCACCTTCAGGGCTGTAACAGGGTGTCATCATTTGACTGGTTTAGTTGCCCTTTCACACAAAACACCTCAGGAGCTCCTTAGCTATTACCAGTATAAGAAAAACATTACATGTTCATGAGACATATGTAAGTAACCTGGACAGGTGGCCATTTACAAAGAGCTCAGATTAAACACATTTCACAGCGGATTCACAGCAGACAGAACTCTGGGCCAGGGTCAGGAAAACCTGAATTCAAATCCAGCCTCAGACACTAGAAAGTCATTTAACCTGTTTGCCTCAGTTTCTTTATCTGTAATAATGGGGATAATAGCATCAACTTCACAGGGTTGTTGTTAGGATCAAATGAGATAATATTTACAAAGTGTTCGGCTTATAGTGGCCGGCACATAGGAAGCACTATATAAATGTTTATTCTCGTCTCCTTTCTCGATTTCCTTCTCTGATGATGAAGAGCCAACTAGAGAAACTTGTGGTAAGAAAATCCCCTCAACCAATACACAAAGTCAGGTCAAAAGAAAAGCAAGACTACATTTGAAACAAAACAAGTTTAAATGATATTAACTTAGTTGCTAGTCCTAAACTTGATCAACCTACTAATCCAGAGATTTATGATTAACTTTGTTATGACCAACACTTCCCCCCTCTCTGGGTCTCAGAGTTCCCACCTCAAAGGAGGGAAATAACCCACTGTAACTGCTGAGGGTGTTGTGAAGATGAAAACAGAAAGAAGGATGCTAGAATTCACCTCTGATGATCAATTCTGTTAATAATCACATCACTGGCTTTCATTTCTAACCTGTATAAAGTAAAAATGAATTTCCCTACCACTTTCCACTCATACTCATTCAGCAGATATGTGAAATAATTTAGAAAATGGTCACATCAAACACATTTCGAGAGCTCAAAGAGGAGCTTGGATTGTTAGAAACATACCTAACTTTTAAAAAATGTTCCAGGACGAGAGTCTGATTCCCAAGAGGGAACTCCCTTCCCTCCAGGAATAGCTTTCAGATACTCAGTGCAGCTGTGGGTACATAGGCAATTGGATTTCTTTTTAAGATTACTGACTTTTTCTATCTCAGGAAACAAGAAAAAGAGTTTCACATGCATCACAGTTGAGAGGTCATACTACAAATGACTTAGGAAAAGTGTGAATCTTTAACAAAAGAAACATTTTTCTTTGGGAATAAAACAACATGTGAATCAATTGTCAAGTTTTTAAAAAATGAAATTGGCTGCAACTCTGTTGTAGTCAGTACTTGCAGGTCTTTGCCCATTTAATATATTTAATATGTGTGAGCAATGACTTACTGACTTGCCTGTAGCTATGGAATTAAAAGTCAAGAAAAAGAGAGGAAAAAAGTAATCTAGATAAATGACTTTATTCCCTCAGGTGACATCCAGTCAGAGCAGATCCTCAGTACTGTGCAAGTTTTAACAGAATTGTGTAGAGTGAACAGAGAGGTAACATGACTTATATTCTGCTAAACTACATGCCTCTTCACTTAGGCTCAGCCTCTCGTAAGCAGATCTAAAGAGAATTCATTCAGCTGCACGAAATCCATTTGACATGAAGGAGTGCAAACTTAGAGGTCTATGAAATGTCAGTCGGCTGAAGATTAGGCCCAAGTGCAACACTCTTCCTTTTAGCCCACATACATAAGAGGCATTAACTTGATCCCTGACTTGGAGGCATCAAAGGAAGAAGGTGGGGGTTGGGGAGAAAAGAGCTACATATTTTTCTCCATGCAATGATTTTTTTTTTTTAAGTACTGAGACTAAAAAATGAAGAATGCAGCTGAGCACTCTGACAGATTTATCTTCTTCCAAGAAAAGAGCCAATACACCTGTATCTATACCTTTACCAAAAAGAATCTTGAGCAATGTGATTAGCCTGTAATTTTAATTTACTGCTCAGACTGCAAGTAAATCAATTTATTCAAAAACAGCCCAGTTGGTAGATTAATTCATCCTCTAAAAGTTTAGGTTCCTAAGACCATACACTTAAAGCAATCAGTAGGGGACATATTTTTATAGAGTTCATGTTTTTCTCTAACCATTTGTTCATGAATCCAATGACCAATTTCAGATTTATCTTTTCATTTAATGCATTCTCAATAGTATTTTTTAAATCTGTTTTTGCTGTGAAATATATTGAATGGAAAAGGCAATTTGGGATGCCATTCTGAAGATATAGCTGGGAAAATATGAAAAGACAGGTAACAAATTGGATTAGAAAAGTTGCCTGGGCTCACATTTAATACCTTCCAGAGTGAAAGAGAAAAACTGGCAAAGGACAAAATTACTAGAAAATTTCTTTCCCTGTGACCCTTGTGCCAGGACAGAGCTTGAGACAGTAGAGACAGAGGGCTCCAATTCTATTGTGGTAGGGTTTTCATTGAATTCTACCTTTCTGAGTGGGTAAATACACTCCAGAATATTCTCCATTTTAGCATTCTAGCACAGTGTAGAAAGAGCACTGGGTAGAGTTCAGAAAAGCTGTCATGATGGTCTGATGGAATCATCAAACCATTTCATGGAACCAGTACTATACTGGGAGCCAAGAGCCCTGTGTTGGCACTGTAACACTACTGCTAACTTTGTGATCATCAACAAGTCACCTTATTTCTTTGGGCCTTGGTTTTCTCATCTGTAAAATAAAGGGGATGCACAAGATTATTTCTAAAGTAATTTCCAACTTTCAAATGTTATGATAATGATCTATGATTTGTCCAACTTTCCTTTCTACTTTAATTCTCTCCTCTTTCTAGCATCTCCTCTCCCCAAGCAAAGTAATTCTAGTCACTAGAGAGATTCCCGAGTCAGATTCTGCAGGGTGGCCAAGACTGAGCTTCGTATTAGATACAAAGATGCACACATGCATAAAAAATAATCACAGATTATGAAAAATCACCTTGTCCAGGCCATTTATCATGTGGATTAGGAAAGTGAGATCCAGAGAGAAAAAAGTAACTTGCCTGATGTCACACATCCAGGCAATGGACAAAGTGAGACCTGGATCTCAGGTCTCCTGAGTCCCACATCCCTGCTGCCTTCATTACACCATCATGACAACTACAGAGGATTGTACACATGTGAGGAATCAGTGACAGTATGCCCAAACCGCTGCAAAGAACAAACTCAAAAGGCTTCCTTCAGAAGATGTGGTTAAAGGACCACTGAAGCATTTTATCCAGCAATGGAGCACAGAGATGCAAAAAGAAAAAAAAAAATTGTGAGGGGAAAAGCCTGACAGAATAGAAGAGCATTAAAACAGCGTAAGCAAAACTGATCTACGTGGTCAAAGTACTAACTTTGGAAGAGAATAAAATACAAAAGAAATAAATAGAAGAAAACCTCAAATCTAATAACCACAACCTTAAATGTAAACATAATGACATATTAAATGGAAACCGTAACGGAAAGCGAAATCTAACAACCTGCTGCATACAAGAAACATAATTAAAAATAAAGATAAAGAATGAAAACAAGAGGTTGGAGCAAAATTTGCTATCTACTAGGTGAAGCCAAAAAAGCAGGAGTTACACTGATACTACTAGATGACAAAAAACAAAAATTTAAAAAGGAAAACTATACTTAAAGGAACCATACACAAAGAATTAATATCAATATAAAACATATTTACCAAATGGCATAGCATCTAAATTCATAAAGTGAAAGTTAACTGATTACAAAAATAAAAATAGATAACTAATTGTGAAAAGACAAGTAATAACATGATAACTGAAAGTCATTTTAATGTTCCTCTTTCAGAGCTGGACAATTCTAATAGAAAGATAAAAAGGAAAATGTAAAACTGAGCAAACTGTTGGAAAATTTAAGAAATGAAAGACTAATGGCATTTTATGAATGAGAGCATTAAAGAATATACATATTTTCCAACAACACATAATACTTTTACAAAAATAGACCATGTACTAGAGCACAGAGAAATTACATATAATTTTTTTTAAGCCTAGAAAACAGCAGTGACTGACAGACTGGCCTGCAACTATAAGAAACAAGTTTTTTTTTGAGTAAATCTTTAGGGTAAGCTATGATTCCCCAATCAACAAGCATTTATTCAGTGTCTACCATGAGCTGCTATAGGTAATTCTGTACAAATGGATCTTCTTTGTTCTTTGATCTCTCTGAGGCACGTACTTAGTAGGAGTATTGCTAGGACAGAAGGTCCTAGGTACTTATGGGGTACAGTTCTGGACTGCTTTCCAGAATAGCTAGACAGTCCCCAGCTCTGCCACTATTGTATTAGCAGGCAACCTTTCTACTTTTTAACCAGTATCAAATCCCTTTGAAGATTACTGCTTTTTAATATAGTTTGAGATCTGATACCACTGGTCCCTCTCTTTCCCACTTTTTTCCTCATGATTTCCTTTGAGATTCTCATCTTTTTGGTTCCTCCAGATAAATTTCATTATTATTTTTTTCTAGCTCATAAAATAATCTGGCAGTTTTAATTGGAATAGCTTTGAATAATTAAATTAATTTCAGTAGTATTGTCATTTTGATTATATTGGCAAAGTCTACCCATGAACAATTAATATTTCTTCACTTATTTAGGACTGCTTAACTTTTGTAAAGGATATTTTATAGTCACATTCACATAGTTCTTACGTATCTTGGTGGGAAGATTCACAAATGTATATTTTGCAGTGATTCTGAATGGAATTTCTATCTCTTCCTTTTGGGTTTTATTTGGTAATATATAGAAATGATGATTTACGTGGATTTATTTTATATTTCACAACTTTGTTGAAG